TGAACGGTCCACGGGGTGTCGCAGACCAACGCCGACGTCAGCGCGGCGCGAACCTGCCGTAGTCAGATTCCTGCCCTCACCTTGGTCCTCTTGATTGGGGGTATTTGGCTGTTGATTGGGGGTATTTGGATGTCTGCGGACGGCACCCACTCGCCACCATGCCTGGCCAGCCGTGTGGGGCCCCTGCGTGGTGTATGGGCCCTCGCCAGACCCCCGACGCCGTGATTGTTTTCACGCCGCTCCGATGCGATGTCGACTCCGAGCCGAGACGGCCCGATCCGTTGCGTGTTCCGACCTGGTCCGATTTCCCGATTCGATTCTGATTGACCCTGCCCCATTGCCGTCCTGCACTATTACACATACCTGGAGCTAAAGGACAGCGCCGCCCTTGCCTGTAGCGCTTTGGACGTCCGCCCGAGCCCGTCCAGCCGCTATACAGCACGCACTGGAGGGCCCACGGTATACCGCCCTCGCGCGCTTGGCTGCTTATAGGCGTGGCAGTCCTTCCTCGTCTGCCGCACCGCTGCTCCTGTCTCCTCCCCGCGCCCTCCCGCTTTTTGCTGAAGATTTTAAGAACAGACCTCCCGGCCCGCCTGCCCTACATACCGCGGCCGCCAGATCCCTAGGCTCCCGATAATCCCTGATGGTCCTGCCCCCCCTCCGCCCTGCATACCGCGGTCGCCAGATCCCCAGGCTCCCAATAATCCCTGGTGGTCCCGCCCCCCTCCGCCCTGCATTCCCCAGATCCCCCACAGAACAAAGTATAACACCACACCACCGAAACGAACATTTCCGAGCATAACATACCATATCGTGACATACCATATCGTAACATAACACACCATGACGTAACATTGCACACCATAGCACAGCATCACAGTACATATCATTAGTTACATATCATGCAGATCAAAGCAACGCAGAACTGTCGCTATCAACACACACCATGCCACACATCATAACGCACTACATTATAACACTGCGTGCTATGGTATGGCACATCGGGTTATACATAGCATAACACATCATACCATTGCATACCACACCATCACACACTATACCCCGCCATACCACACCACACCATACCACAGCATCTCATCACATCTCACTCCATTCCAGGACGAGGCATCACATGACATATCGTTGCATACTACGCAATGCCATCGCACTCCATTTCATTTCACAACATCATACGTCATGATATACTTGATCAAACAGAACACACTTGAGCATATTATGACCCACCGTGACATAACACATCATACCGTGACGTATCATAGCATACGCCAGAGATTTCGGTGGGGATCGCTCGAAGCAACATGATTCGTCTCATGTTCCGCACTGTCGTTTCTGGCGTCCGCCGCCCTGTCGGTTCTGTGCGTTTGGCCGCCTGGGACTCGGGGCTGGGGCCCCCTTCATTGTGGAGTGTGGCGGCCGGAACAAGCTCTCGGGGTAAGAGCCTTCAGCATGACGGCGCGCAGACAGCTGCAGTGCTGAGTCTGACCGACCTCCCACCCTTCTCCCCGGGTGGGGGGGGAGGGCGAGGAGGGAGAGGAGGAGGAGGAGGAGGAGGTGGAACAGGACGAGGAGGAGGAGGAGGAGGAGGAGGAGGGGGAGGAGGAGGAGGAGGAGGAGGGGGAGGAGGAGGAGGAGGAGGAGGAGGGGGAGGAGGAGGAGGAGGGGGTGGAGGGGCCGAAACAGGACCTTCGTCGGCGTCTCTCTCGTCGTCCTCGCCGTGACCAGGCGCCTCAGGAATCGAATCGCAATGCCGCATAAGCATAAGCCTAAGTCGGGCCTGTTCCTCGACAGGAGGAATATTCAAAGATAGTGTTTTAAATAGTCTGGGGACGATGTTTTGACTATTTGTGTCCAGTTGGTGGGTATTTATATATATATATATATATATATATATATTGCATTTTTCGCCCAAAATCCCCCTGTAGGGGGACATGCGCTCGGAGGTCCGCGCGGATTTCTTCGGTCGGGCCAGGCGCCCAAAAGGAATCGAACCACACATTGCATAGCATGCACTTTCGGAGGTCCGCGCGGGTCGACGCGGGGCCCCCCCCTGGCGGCGCTCCCGGCGGCGCCGCCGCTGGCGCGCTGCGTGCGCCGGGGAGGGGGTCCAGTGGCGATCCCTTCCGCGCGGACCTCCGCATATATATATATATATATATATATATATATATACATATATATATATAATTATATATATGTGTGTATATATATGCCAGCCCCCCCCCCACGGGGACCCCATCTCAATAGAGAAAAGTAAAAGGCATAGCGAGAGAGAGAGAGAGAGCGAGCACGAGAGTGAGAGAGGAGGAGAGCGATGACGAAACTGAGATATGATATGGATGGGTGTCTACGCCATTCTACACGTTGCTGTTGGACGCGGCAGATAACAAACATCTTTTTCATTCTTGAAGCCGAAGATACAGATTGCACTCTCCCCAGGTGCATGCATGATCGCATTAGCAGCCCTCTGTATGGACTGCCCGCGGCGCAACTCGCGCGAATCGACTGCCCCAGGGCCCCCGAGTAGCTCCCCGCGTGCTGAAGCGCAGCACCCATCACACGAGCTTCGAGATCATGTCCCCTGTGGCCTGCCACAATAACGAAAGAGGAGGCTCCCGCCTGATAGATCCCAACAATAACTGAAGAGGAGGCTCCCGCCTGAGAGATTCTCCAAACAACTCTCTGATGAGGAGACTCCCGCCAGAGAGGTTACTACGGCGAGGGCATTGGATAAGGAATCATTTGATAAGACTTCCAGGGTTTGGAAGCCGGCGGAGCTCCAATTGTGGATCGGCCGTGGATGTCGCCACCACCCTCATCGGATGAGGAATCCCCCAAGGTCTGATGCCTCCTGGGCACATTCCTTAACCAACGCCCCCGACGTAATCACAGTCTCTGAAGGGGGCAACTTCGCCTGAAAGGTCCAACAAAAAAGAACAAACTGCTCCTCCTTCTCCTCCTCCTCCCTCTCGACTGGACTTCGTCCAGGGACTCCTGACTCCTGACTCCTCCTCCCTCTCTCTCTCTCTCTCCTCCTCCTCCTCCTCCTGCTGCTGCTCCCCCTCCTTCACATAATGATCGTAATCCTCCTCATCATCATCATCAACAGCATCATCATCATAATCAGCATAATCACCATCATGTTCGTAATCCTCATCATCATCACCATCGTCATCATCACCATCACCAACGTCAGCATCAACATCATCATCGACACAATCAGCATCACCATAGTCATCAGCAACATCAGCATCATCAGCAGTACCATCTTCATATTCATCTTCTCCGTCATCATCACCATAATGTTCGTCATCCTCGTCTTCGCCATGGCCATGAGAGTCTTGCATGAGAGGTCCCCAAAACATGTGAGGAGGAAGAGGCTCCCGCCTGAGAGGTCCCCAACAAACGTCAGGATGAAGAGGCTCCCGCCTGAGAGGTCCCAAAAAAACGCGAGGAGGAAGAGGCTCCCGCCTGAGAGGTCCCAAAACAACGTGAGGAGGAAGAGGCTACCGCCTGAGAGGTCCCCAAAAAACGCGAAGAGGAAGATGCCCCCGCCTGAGAGGTCCCACAACAACTCTCTTGGGAGGAGGCTACCGCCTGAGAGGTCCCCCCAAAAAGCAAACAGGAGGAGGCTCCCGCCTGATAGGTCCCAAAAAAACAAAAAGACACCCAAACACCATGCCTCTCATCCCTGTAATTGTTTCAAAACAACAAAGAATCCAAAGTTCCAGAGGAGATGGCGGCCCTGCATTGACGAGGGCCGCCATCTCCTCTGGAACTTTGAGTTTTTTTTTTTTTTTTTTTTTTTTTTTTTTTTTTTTTTTTTTTTTTTTTTTTTTTTTTTTTTTTTTTTTTTTAAAGGGATGAGAGGCATGGTGTTTGGGTTTCTTTGGGTTTTTTTTGGGACCTCTCAGGCGGGAGGCTCCTCCTGTTTGGTTTTTTTTGGGACCTCTCAGGCGGTAGCCTCCTCCCAAGAGAGTTTTTGTGGGACCTCTTAGGCGGGAGCCTCCATTTGACTCTGTTTTTTGTGGGACCTCTCAGGCGGGAGCCTCTTCCTCCTCACCTGTCTTTGGGACCTCTCAGGTGGGAGCCTCTTCCTCTTCACGTTTTTGGGGGACCTCCCAGGCGGAAGCCTCTTCCTCCTCACGTCTTTTTGGGACCTCTCAGGCGGGAGCCTCTTCCTCTTCGCGTTTTTTGGGGACCTCTCAGGCGGTAGCCTCTTCCTCTTCACGTTTTTTGGGGACCTCTCAGGCGGGAGCTTCAACACAATCAACACAATCAGCAGAATGAGGTAGGTCCCTGATGGAGATGGGTACCTTTCAATTGTATGGTTTTCTTATTGTGTTTGAGTGTGTTGGTGTCATATTGTTGTTGATTTTGATGTTATCGATTGCAAACGTTCTTGCAACAACACAGGGTCAACACCTACATCAACATATGAACGAACTTCTCCGCTTAAAGCCCTCGGGCTTGCATTTGTGAAGATGGGGTCCCCGTGGGGGGGCTACCATATATATATACACATATATATATATATAGATATATAGAGATATTGTAGCCTGCCCTTCTTCTGAGGAAGCGGTTGCCCCCCACCAGTTGACGCCACCATGAACATCGGGAATCCCTCCACCGAGGGAAGGTGGCGCGCCTGGTGCTACGTCGGGCATGAACCTCCACAGGAGGAATCTTCGAACAGAGAAACAAACTATCGAATTCTGGGGAATAGTCGGGGGAATATCCGAGAATAGTCAAAACATAGTCTGGGGACGTTGTTTTTTTTGGGGGGGGGGGGGGGGGCTAATTTTGAACATGTTTTGACCGTTGCTAACGTTTCCCCCCGAAGCCGCCTGTAGGAGGCAATGCCCAACCTAGCCCTGGCGATGGCGTCAGCGCCTGGGCCTCCCGGGCAGGCCTGCCGACCCCGCCGTCGGCCCTCTCGGCGCCCTGCCGCTGCCGCCGCGGCCCCTCTGCCGCCGCGCCGGGCTCGAGGCTGCCTGTCATGTAGCTGCTACCCTACTGTTCTCCCTCTGGCTTGGTATCGCTCGGACGTGTGCATTTTTTCTCGGCGGGGGTTATTCAGGAGCATCCTGAATCATCCTGCGAAAGAACCGCGCACGACACCGAGCAAAAAGACAGGAAATGTAGCTGGTACCCTACTGCTCTCCCTCTGGCTTGGTGTCGCTCGGACGTGTGCATTTTGTCTCGGCGGGGATTACGAAGGAGCATCTTGAACCATCCTCCGAAAAAAAAAACACGCACGAAACCCACAAATAAATAGGGAATGGGCGTCCGAGCGATGGCGAGCTGTGAGCCTCAGCCCAAACACCACCAACCACCAACGGCACGTGTCCAAGCGTTCGGGTGGGCGCCAGGGCTTCTTGGACCGTCGCTCTTTCCCGCCCCCCCCTCATTGGCGCACGAGGGGGCCAGCGCCGATCCAAGATGACCAGGCGGACCTCCGGCAGTTTATGATCAGGGCGTTCTCTCCCCTTCTCGCAAGAAGCTGCCCTCCCCCGGTCATCCGAGGGCTTTTTTTTGTTGCTTCCCCGCGCGGGGCTCCAAGGAGTTCCCGACGCCCCTTCCCCGGGGGTACGCTCCTCGCCCCGGAGAGGGGCCCCGGCGGCCGAAATGGAAGAGCAGCTGGCGCACGTCGCCCCCTCGGCAGCAGCACGACAGAGGGGACTCCTGTGCCCCTGTGCCAGAGGGAGGGACGAGCGCGATCGTCATGAAGCTGCGACCCTGCGCAGATGCCTGCGCATGGCCGCACGAGAGCCGCCCACGGTCAGGCCCCCACGGGCCCTCGCCGCAAGACTCTGACCTGACCGACGCACACTGAGATCCGACATGAACCCACTGCAGAAGTTGAGCCATCATGACCGGAGCCCCAGGCCCCACCTTTCTGCTGCAAGATCCGAGCCAGATGGAGATGTGGTGGCCCTGGGGCCTGGGAACCGGGGCGCAAGCGCCGGGCGTGATAACGACGCAGCGCCCCGATCGCGGAACCAATCCACATATCGATGTAAAGATGTGTCCATCACGGGGTACCCGGAAGGCCCGAGGATTTTTCCCCAGGGCCGTTTGCATCCTGAGTTGTTTTTTTTGGTTTTGCAGCTTGAATTGTTTCTGGCGGTCCCGGGGCCGTCCGAGGGCCTCTCGAGGCCGAAACCGGCAGCACCAGCTCCCCACCGAATTCTCCAACACGCTGGGGGCCTGGGAGCGAATCCCGAGATCGGACGTTGCAGAAACCACGCGCGACCGGGGCCCTGGACCCCAGCCGTCTGCGCCATCTCTCGAGCCCCATCCGCCCGTGACGGTCCCCGGGGGCCCGGAGCCGGGCGACCACGCGCCCGCTGTGTTTAAAGCGCAGCAGCGTCCACATCGTCTCGGGCGCAGGGACTCGGCATCGCTCGGACGTGTGCATTTTTTCTCGGCGAGGACCATCGAGGACCATCCTGGACCATCGAGTAGCAAAGAGCACACGCGCGAAACCGAGACGTGCACGGGAAATGGACGTCCGAGCGACGGCAAGAGAGAGGTATGCACATGCACCGATCCTGGCCAGGCCCATCATGGGCCCTGGGTCGGTGCAGATGCCTTCCCTGCCAAGGCAGGAGGGCGTATGCACCGCTCTTGGGCTCCGGATGGGCCTGGCCCAAGGCGGCGTATGTGCATAGTTCCCTTTCCTCGAGCGTCGGAGATCTGACCCTCCAGATCCCCGACGTATTGTTTTTTCTGTAACGTCGACCCCCAGAAGTCTCGACCTATTCCCCGGGACCGGTTTCTCATCGCATCGCCAGCGGACCGGTTTTTCATCCCGAGTCGTTTTTTGACGGCCTGGAGGCCCAGGAAGGGCAAAGGGAGGCCGAGAACAGCGGAAAACCTCCCGTCGTGATTTTTGCCACATCGCGATGGGGGTCTGGGTAGTTCCTTTTCCTCTGCCGTCCGAGATTTGGCGCCGCGGTGCGGTCCCGCCCCAAGAGGAGGAGGAGGAGGAGGAGGAGGAGGAGGAGGAGGAGGAGGAGAGGAGGAGGAGGGAGGAGGAGGAGGAGGAAGAAGACGAAGAAGAAAAAAAGAAGAAGGAATATAATATGAAGGAGGAGGAAGAGAGGAGAGAGGAGGGTGGAGGCAGAGGAGAGGAGGATGAGGAGGGAGGAGGAGGAGGAGGGAAGGAGAGAGGAGGAGGAGGAGGAGGAGGAGGAGGAGGAGAAGGAGGAGGAGGAGGAGGAGGAGGAGGAGAGGAGGAGGAGGAGGAGGAGGAGGAGAAGGAGGAGGAGGGGGAGGCGGAGGAGGCTCCACCCAACCCTCACCCTCTGCCATGGCGCCCGGGCGCGACCTGCTCCTGCCCGCGCTCCTGGCCGCCGCGTGCGCGGCGCTTCGCGTGGAACCGCCGCCGGCCGCTGGGGGCGGCGAGGCCCTCCGCCTGGGCGGCGGCCGGCAAGCAGCGAACACCACGAGGCCGCACCCTGCCAGAAACGCCGCAAGGGACGATCTTCCCTCCCCGCCTCCTCCCCGCTCCCGTGCCCCCCCAGAGCGCCCCTGGGATTGAGACGGGCCTGAGCGGGGCCCAAAGCGTGGCGGGTGGCTGGAGCCAGCGGGACGTGCCGACCGCGGAGCCCGCCGCCGCCGCCCGCACGTGACGATGGTGTTCATCACGGTCGGGGGGCTTCCTTGGCGAAGGGGCCCCCCGCGGCCGCCCGCGGGCGCGGGCGTGGAGAGGAGAGGGTCCGCTCTCCCACCGCGCGTGCATCATCCTCCTCCCTCTCCTCCTCCTCCTCCTCCTCCTCCTCCTCCTCCTCCTCCTCCTCCTCCTCCTCCATCTCCTCCTTCCTCCTCCTCCTCCTCCTCCATCTCCTCCTCCTCCTCCTCCTCCTCCTCCTCCTCCTCCTCCTCCTCCTCCTCCTCCTCCTCCGCCTGGGCGGCGGCCGCCACGCCGCGAACACCACGAGGCCGCGCCCTGCCAGAGGGGGAGGCCCAGGATCTTCCAGCGGGTGGTAATGATCAAGCGATCGCAAACATGGATCAAGGGGGCGTGGATTAGCGACGGGTCGCGTTTCCATGGGAGATCGCGGATTTCCTTCGCCGAGCGATGCGGCACCGCCCGCAGTTTGGGGAAAGCACCTCCCCCGATCCACCGATCCATGGAGTTGGCGACCGCGCGCCAAACCCATGGATCGCTAATCCATGTTTGCGCGCCCTCGATAATGCCAGTCCCGGGGAAACGGTCCAGGCCTCTGGGGGTAAAATCACGACGTCGGGGGTCTGGGAATGGGGGGGGAGCCAAATGGGGGGTGAGGAAAAAGGCCCCACATGGGGCCCTTGAGGCCCCATTTTTGGGGCACCGGCGGGCTCCCAAAGGGGCCCTGAAGAGGGCCCCTTGTTGGGCCCGCTTCTGCACCTCCTATTCCAGAAGCGCAGTTAACGAAACTTCTTAAAACAGTCCCCGGGGACTGTTTGAAAGCACTCGGGCGTGCTTTAAAACAGTCCCCGGGGACTGTTTTCGCTAAGCTTCTAAGTGCTAACAGCGCTTTTGGATTATGTGGGTCACCCCCCATTTCGGGGGCGACGATAGGGGGGAAAGGCACAGGGGGGGATGCATCGGTCCCCAATCGCCCATTGATCGCCGATAGGGGCCCGATAGCCCCAACCCGCCCGGGAAGGTGCGGATTCACTACCGGGGGCGCATCGCCGATCTCTCGGCGATGTACCGCCGATTCCAGGTCGATGCACCCCCCCTGTGCCAGTCCCCCCCTATCGTTGCCCCTCAGGGGGGTGGAAGGGCGGTGAACAAAGTCACGACGGGAGGTGTTTCGCTATCTCTGCCTGCGGGGAGCCCTTGCTCGGCCTTTGGGCCGATGCCAGGCCGATGCACCCCCCCCTGTGCCAGTCCCCCCCTATCGTTGCCCCTCACATGTGGGTCACCCCCGTGGGACTGTTTGAAAGCACTCGGGCGTGCCTCCTCCTCCTCCCTCGTCCTCGCTCCTCCTCCCCCTCGCGCTCCTCCTCCTCCTCCTCCTCCTCCTCCTCCTCCTCCTCCTCCTCCTCCTCCTCCTCCTGACTCGCACCTGCGAGAGGCGGAAAGCCCTGAAAGCTCCTCCTCCTCCTCCTCCTGCTCCTGCTCCTCCTCCTCCCCCTCCTCCTCCTCCCTCCTCCTCCTCCTCTCCCCTCCTCCTCCTCCTGCTCCCGCCTCCTCCTCCGCCGCCGCCTCCTCCTCCCTGGCCTCCTCCTCCGCCGCCTCCTCCTCCTCCTCCTCCGCCTCCTCCTCCCTCCTCCGCCGCCTCCTCCTCCTCCTCCTTCTCCCTCTGCTACCTCCGGATACGCTGTGCTCCTCCCTCTCCTACCTAGGGTAGTGGTTGTGGAAAAATTGGTCCACCAGTCGATGTGATCAGATCCGGGGTTTCCGCAGCCGCGCGAGGGTCATGACGATGGCCGTGAAGGGGCATCCTTGGCGGCGCGCACCGGGGGGCGACGCGAAAGAGGGGGGCCCGAGAAGGCGAGGGGCTTCTGAGAGGGAAGTGGCCTTCTTTTGATATTGGAGGCTTCTAGGAAGGCTTCCCAGAAGCTCCCACGCCCCTGAAAAAAAACTGTCCTCCAAGAGTCCGTTTGCCTTAAGTCGGGCCTGTCCCTCTACAGGGGGAATGTTCAAACATAGTCAAACAATAGTCTGGGGACTATGTTTTTTACATATATTTTGGCCATTTCGAAGTATTTTTTGAATATATTTTTTTCGTCGATAACGCCCCTGTAGGGGGACACCCCCGACTTAAGCCTTGTCAGAGGCCGCCCCGCCCCCCTCGCGCCACCCCCTTGATCGCGCCGCCAGCTGTACCGTCAGCGAGGTCTCCGCAGGATGGACGGGGAAGGTTCAGGAGGGACAAAAACACACACAGGCACAATTAATCGTCGATTCCCAGGGAACTATGGGAAATATGGGAAGTGGGGGGGAAGACAAAAACTTTGAAAATATGGGAAAATAGGGGGAATCATGTTTTTGTGTCTATTTATTTGTGTGTCCCATGGCCCCTCAAAGGTCGTGTACGCCGTCTTCACCAGCGCCATCCCCGCCTACCGCGACAACCTGGTGGCTTCGGATGCAATTCCTGGGAGGCGACTCTGCCCTGGTCCGAGGTCCTGCCTGATCCGGCACAGCCCCGCTTATGAATCCGGCTTTATCCCGCTCAACCTGCGGCCTAAGCTGGCGTTCCAGCCTCCCAAATGGGGCGTCATCCTCCTTGGCCCTTCCGGCGCAGACCTCCCAGTAGCTGCCTCCCGAGGTGGCCGAGATGGACACGTGGGCGGCGGGCCCCGCGGAGGAGGGCAGGTTCGTGGCCGTGGGCGGCCGGGACTACCCGGGCGGCTGGCAGAGCGCCAACGTCCTGCGGTCGGACTGCGGCGACCTCAAGCACAACCTCTCCTGCAAGGAGGCGGCCCTGCTCGCGGAGGGCGCGGCGCGCGGGGCGGACTGGCTGGTCGTGGTCGGCGAGGACAACTACGTGCACACCGACCGCGTCGACAGGTTCCTGAGCAGCAAGGACCGGCGAAGAGCGACTCGCATGGGCACCGACTTTCACAGAGGTGCGCGCGGATTTTCTGGGATGGGCGCACGCCTCCCTGGGCGCGCTCCGCTCGTCAGCGACGAGGGTCCAGCGCTGATCCCTTGAAATCCGTGGGGACCTCTTATATTGCTCACCCTCCTCCTCCTCTTCCTCCTCCTCCTCCCCTTCTCCTCCTCCTGTTCCTCCTCCTCCTCCTCCTCCTCCTCCTGCTCCTCCTCCTCCTCCTCCGCCTCCTCCCTCTCCCCCCCCCTCCCCCTCCCCCTTCCCCCTCCTCCTCCTTCTCCTCCTCCGCCTCCTCCTCCTCCTCCTCCTTGTCCTCCTCCTCCCCCTCCTGCTCTTCATCCTTTTGTTCCTTCTGCTTTCCCTGCACCTTCCTCTGCACGAAGAAGTGGCCTTCATATCGGCCGCGTTCGCCGAACGAGCCTGCTACTTGACCAGGCTCTTGCTGGCATGTGGCTGGTATTTGGCATGCGTTGTGGGTTAACGCTGTCCGCTCTTGTCTTCCCCCCTAGCAGATCAGCGGGGGTCTTCCGACGGTGTATGGGCTTACGCCTTTCCGTGCTCTTCTAAGAGGACCCCGATACCGCCGTGGCGTTCGGTACCATCGGGTGCGGGAAGGGGCTGTACTGCCGCGACAGCGAGGGCTTCAACGAGTACGGCGGGTTCTGCGGCGGCGGCGGGTACATCATCAGCCGCGCCGCCCTGCAGCGGCTGCTGACTGGCGGCGCTCCGGCGCTGCACTCGGTCTACGACCGCACACCCTGGCCGAACGACATGATGACCAGCTGCCAGCTCAGGAAGCACGACGTGCTCATGAGCAAGGTCCTCACGATGTACGGGTTCCACATGTTCGGGATCACGGAGTACAAGCGCGTCGCGCAGACGGCGCTCACCGCGCACTACCTGAGGCCCGCCGTCATGCGGTGGTACCACGCGCTCGTCCAGGGGGCCCCGGACTCTGTGAGGACGCCGCTGGAAGAGGCGGCCTTCAGCCGCGGCTGCGCCGTCGAGATGAACACCTCGGCCTGGGCGCCCGAGTTCGGCGAGTGCCTGCGGAAGGAGGCGCTGTGGCGCAGTTTTCCGAGGTGGTGACGCACAGGAGAGGCCTCGTGAGAGGTGTTGTCGAGGCGCTGCGATGAGGAGCGGCTCGGGCTCGGAGGGGGCTCGCTGCTCCGTGGGTCCTTCCGTGCAAGTTTCACCAGCGCTCCGCGCGCACGCATGCGCCTTTTTGGGGGCAAGCAGGGGATTCTCAGAATGATTATGTTCCAATGCATCCTTATCAATCAGTCCTCAGTAGTGCATTCTTGACGGGGAATATTTACTCAGGAGTCCCTAATATGGACTCTTCTGTCAGGAGTCCGTAGTAAGGCATCCCGAGCAAGGCATCCTTCATAAGGGATCCTTCGCAGGGGATCCCTGGCGAGGAGCCCTTAGCAAGGAATCCTTCGTCAGGAGTGCTCGGTGAGGAAGCCTCCGCAAATACGCAGCGACGCGGCAGCACGACAGCAGGAGCCGGCGCGGGGCGACGGGGGAGGCCAGGGGGAGGCTGGCAGAGGGCGAGCTCCGCGGGCGCTCCGAGAAGTTTGGCCGGCGGGCGGGAGGCCCCCCCCGCCCAAAGGGGGCGCTCCAGAGGGGGCTTCGTCCTGTGCCCCGCCGTCGCCCTTCGTGGCCCCCTCGCTGCCCTTCGTGGCCCCGCTGCCGCCCTCAGTGGCCCCGTCCTTGCCCTCTGCGGCCCAGCATGCCCCCGCTCGCTCGCGCCCGTCGTGGCCCCACATGCATGCCCTCCGTGGCCCCGCTGTCGCCCTTTGTGGCCCCCTCGCTGCCCTTCGTGGCCCCGGTGCCACCCTCAGTGGCCCCGTCCTTGCCCTCTGTGGCCCCGCATTATCCGCCCTTCGTGGCCCCCGCTCGTTCGCGCCCTTCGTGGCCCCATACGCCTGCCCTCCGTGGCCCCGCTGTCGCCCTTCGTGGCCCGCTTCCTGCCCTTCGTGGCCCCGCTCTCGCTCGTCGTCGTCGTCGTCGTCGTCGTCGTCGTCGTCGTCGTCGTCGTCGTCGTCGTCGTCGTCGTCGTTGTCGTCGTCGTCGTGGTCGGTTCTCCCTCTTGGGGTCGGGTTGCCGCCGATCAGCGTTGCCGCTGGCTAGGCCGACGGTCCGCGGCCGCCCCGCCGTTTGCAGGGGCCCGGCCTGCAGAGAAGAAAGATACACCCCCCTAAGGGGTACGATCGAAGACGAAGAATGCGCGTATCGAGGGTTTGGGAATTTCACGTTGAATGACACTCGGGCGGATAAGAACTAACATTATTAACATTATTGTTGTTGTTGAAGAAGAGTTCGATTCCTGAAGAATCATTATTGTTGATCCCCCCGCCCAGTGCACTTGCTGTATTTTTTCGATTGAAGTGCCCTTTCCGGGGCTCGCACTGTGTTTTTCTGAGCAGGGAAAGTCTTGACGGTCATACAGTGTCGTTGCCCCCCGGCTTACAACAACAGCAACGGTACCCGCTTGACATTTCCTTGCAATGTATTGATGGATCGCGGTTCGTTTGGGACTTCCTGGCAATTTACCACCTAATCGCGGCTCCCGCCTGATACTTCCTGACAAATTATTGCAAAAATGCGTCCTCGCCTGAGACTTCCTCGCAAGTTACCGCCGAACCGTTTCGTTTGATATTTCTTCACAGTTTATTCGGATGGCGGTCCTCGACGCTCAGGAATCGCGCTCCCGCTGCAGATTGCTTGGCGGTTCAAGCAGGGCTCACGCTTCAACGACCCGCCCGCTCGACCCGCCCGTCGGGGCATGCCCGCCCGACCAGCCCGTTAATGACTGCAGTCGCCGCTCGTTACCCTTCGCCCGCCTTCGGTGCCCCTCGCTGCCCGTCCTGGTTCCGCGGTCGCCTTCGCTCGCTGCCCTTCGTGGCCCCGGATTCTATGCCCTTCGTGGCCCCCGCTCGCACGCGCCCGTCGTGGCCCCATGCGCATGCCCTTCGTAGCTCCGCTGTCGCTCTTCGTGGCCCCTTTGCTGCCCTCAGTGGCACCACTGTCGCCCGTTGTGGCCCCGTAAAAGAATGCCGTTCGTGACTCCCGCTCGCTCGCGCCCGTCGTGGCCCCATATGCATGCCTTCCGTGGCCCCGCTGTCGCCCTTTGTGGCCCCCTCGCTTCCCTTCGTGGCCCCGGTGCTGCCCTCAGCGGCCCCGTCGCTGCCCTCTCTGGCCTCGGATTTGATGCCCTTCGTGGCCCACGCTGGCTGCTCACGATTTACGTGGGAATTGCGCTACCGCTCGAGACTTCCTCGCGATTCATTCATGACCCACGCTTCAGCAATCCGCCTCCTCGACCTCGTCGCCTGGGCCCGCCTTCCCGACCTGCCCACTATGGGTCTGCCCACCCGATCTGCCCGTCTGGTTCTACCATTTGTTTTCTGCTCATTGCCCCGCTACTGGTAATATCACTCGTGCTCCATTCTTCTTCCCCCCCTTCCACCCGTCAGTTCTTCCTTTTTTAGGGGCTGCACTCAATACGCGTGGCAGGCAAGAAAGAGATACCCCCAAGGGGTACGATTGAAGACGACAAAGGCGGAATACACGTATTGATTGGCACGTGAGCAGATAGGAGCGAACAGTCTGAAAATGATTGTTGTCGTTGTTGTGGTTGTTGTTGTTGTTGGTGTTGTGTTGCTGTTGTTTTTGTGGTTTCTGAATATTCGTTTCTACAGCGTAGTCATTGTTGATCTCCAGAAACGGTTCCGCGCGCTCTCGCCTCGACGCCGGCTACATGTTCTCTGAAAGCGAGGCTCCCGTTCGAGCGTTGGCTTGAGCCTAAATCTGGGCCCTTGGAGCCCCCGAGCTCAGGAACGGCGCTCTCGCTCGAGAATTCCGTGCAATTCAGGCAAGTTGGCGGAGGCCCAGCCACGACGACAAGGGCTCCCGTTCGATATTTCTCCATACGTATTCCGAGAGCCCCTGGCCAGAGAAGCCCCCGAACTCAGGAACGGCCCTCTCGCTTGAGACTTCCTCGCGCTTCCGTCAGTGGCCGACAAGGAAGAGATTCCCCCCCGGAAGGGGGTTCAATCGAAGACGAAGTGGGCGGATATCGAAGGTTGGGGTATTCGGAATGCAAGACACGCGTGTAAGAGTGAACAGTCTTGAAATGATTATTGTTATTGTTGTTCAATTCTCATTTCTAAAGAATCATTGTTGTTGATCCCGCCTCTCCAGTAATCATCATATTTTACATTATAGCGCTCCTCCGGGGGTTCACACCCTCTTTTCACAAGAGGAAAGCTGGGCTTCACTACACTATGCCCGTGGCCCCTGGTGTACAGCAGCAGCGGCTCTTGCTTGATAGTTCCTCACACTTGATTTGGAAATCGCGCTCTCGCGCGGGACTTCCACACAATATATCCAGAAAGGGGCTCTCGCCTGGGACTTTCCCGCAACTCATTCAAACGCCGCGCCTTCGACACTCAGAAATCACGCTCTTGCTATGGCTTTTCTCGCGATTTACTTGGGAATCGCGCTATCGCTCGAGGCCTGCCCGCGATTCATAGAGTACTCACGCTTCAGCAACACGCCTTCTCGACCTGGCCGCTTGGGCCCGCCTTCCCGGCCCGCCCACCAGGGTCTACCCGTCCTATCTGCCCGTCTGGTTCTGCCTCGTGTTTTCTGCTCCTGTCCCCCTCTTGCTGATCCCGTGCTCCATCCTTCTCCTTCCCCAGTCCATCCATCCTCTCTTCCCCTATTACAGGGGCTGCACGGATTACACGCTGCAGGTACGGAAGATCTACCCCCAGGAAGGAACGATGGAAGACGAAGAGGGCGGGTACCGAGTGTTTGGGATGTAAGTGATGAGTGGCACGCGGGCAGGTAAGAGCGAACAGTCTAAAAAAGAAGATTGATGTTCTTGTTGTTGTAGTTGTTGTTGTTGTTGTTGTGGTGGTGGTGGTGGTGGTGGTGGTGGTGGTGGTGGTTGTTGTTGTTGTTGTTGTTGTTGTTGTTGTTGTTGTTGTTGTTGCTAGTGGTGGTGGTGGTGTTGTTGTCGTCGTCGTCGTCGTCGTCGTCGTCGTCCCGCCCGCGACACGGCCATCGACCCACCTGTGACCCACACGCGACACACCCGCCACCCACCCGCGACTCACCCTGCGACCCACCCCGCGACCCACCCCGCGACCCGCCCTGCGACCCACCCCGCGACCCACCCGCGATTCATCCCGCGACCCGCCCGCGACCCGCCCCGCGACCCGCTTGCGACTCACCCGCGACCCACTGCGCGACCCGCCCGCGACCCACCCTCGACGCGCCCGCGACCCACCCGCGACCCACCTGCGACTCGCCCACGACCCACCCGCGATCCAGCCTGCACCCGCCCCCTCACTCTTATCTGCAGCTGCGGGGTGCTACATAACTTCCGCATCTCCTTCGCAACCCCAGCGGTGATCAACGTCGGGAAATGGTGGAGAGACAAAGTCTGCCGCAGGCAGCCGCGATTGGCCTCTCGGAAGGGCCCTTTCCGGGAAGGCTTTGGATCACTTTCGCCGGCTCTTGCGGGTTGATTCGCTTCGGGATACTTTCCAGCAGCTGCTCCTCGTCGAGGGCGTCCCGGATCGTCCCGGATCGGTCCGGATCGTTCCCGTCGTGGCGGGGTGCCCCAGTCGCCCCCGAGCGGCCGCCGGAGGCCAGAGATTCAAGCCCGAACGCCAGACCTGCTCGCGTAGCGAGAAATCGCGACGGACTCGGCCTCCTCCTCCTCTTCCTCCTCCTCCTCCTCCTCCTCCTCCTCCTCCTCCTCCTCCACGGACGGCAGTTTTCGGCCTCGGCGGGCTTCACCCGGTCGGCCCCAGGACCGTTGGAGAACAGCTCGGGATGTAGAGCCGGCTCCGCGGAACGGGTCCAGGCCTCCGCGGGTCCACGTTGCGAACAAGATGTCGGGGTTCCATGCTCTGGCATCGGACGATGTGCTTTTCCACTGCGCGGCCCTGGAGTTTTTCGTCTGGGTCCGTTTCTGATGGCCCCGGGGCCCGATCGATAGCGTCCTCCAGAGACGGACATCGAGGAAGAGCGCCTAGGTTGAAAAGGTCAGACCTTCCCGTAGGCGGGCTAACGGTGTTCTGCGCAGCGGCGTGGTAGGTTTCGGCGTCGTAGGTGGGTCTGGCCCGCGGCCAACTCCATTGTAGGCGACGTGGTCCGCGCTCTCCTTCCAGTTATTCGCCGTGCCGTCTGCGTTCGTTCGCTACGCCTGCACCTTGGCACGCCGGAGCGCCTGGCTCGTGATTCCCTACATCTGTTTCTGCGCGCGCGCGCTCGGTGCTACGAAAGCCCGATCTCCCCGCCCGCCAGCGCCGTCAGCCGCCTACCCTTGGCCGTCGGGAAGCTCTCTGGAGATCTGGGCCTCGTGCCCGCGGCACGCGGCCGCACCTCGCGGCACGCGGCCCGGGCCCCCGCGGGGTGCCGCGGCCCCGGCAAGGCGCGCAGAGGTGGGGGCAGGGGGAGGAGGAGGAGGAGGAGGAGGAGGCGCGGCCCGGGCCCCCGCGGGGTGCCGCGGCCCCGGCAAGGCGCGCAGAGGTGGGGGCAGGGGGAGGAGGAGGAGGAGGAGGAGGAGGAGGAGGCGGAGGAGGAGGAGGAGGAGGAGGAGGAGGAGGAGGAGTAGTGGGTGGATGACGGAGGGGAGCGAGGAGGAGGAGGAGGCGGAGGAGGCAGGAGAGGAGGAGGAGGAGGAGGAGGAGGAGGAGGAGGAGGAGGAGGAGGAGGGAGGAGGTGAAGGAGGGAGGAGGGAGGAGGGAGGAGGGAGGGGGAGAGGGAGAGGGAGGAGGGAGGAGGGAGGAGGTAGGAGGGAGGAGGGAGGAGGGAGGAGGTAGGAGGGAGGAGGGAGAAGGGAGGAGGGAGGCGGGAGGAGGGAGAGGGAGGAGGGAGGAGGGAGGGGGAGGAAGGGAGGAGGGAGGACGGGAGGGGAGCGGGAGGAGGGAGAGAGGAGGGAGGAGGGAGGAGGGAGGAGGGAGGAGGAAGGAGGGAGGAGGGAGGAGGGAGGAGGGAGGAGGAGGATGGGAGGAGGGAGAGGAAGGGAGGAGGTGGAGGGAGGAGGGAGTGAGGGAGGAGGGAGGAGGGAGGAGGGAGGAGGGAGGAGGAGGGAGGAGGAGGAGGAGGAGGAGGAGGAGGGGAGGAGGAGGAGGCGGAGGGGAGGAGGAGGAGGAGGAGGAGGAGGAGGAGGAGGAGGAAGGAGGAGAGGAGGAGGTGTGAAGGAGGAGGAAGGAGGAGGAGGCGGAGGAGAGGAGGAGGAGGGGAGGAGGAGGAGGAGGAGGAGGAGGAGGAGGAGGAGGAGGAGGGGAGGAGGAGGAGGAGGAGGAGGAGGAGGAGGAGGAGGAGGAGGAAGAAGAAGAAGAAGAAGAAGAATAAGAAGAAGAAGAATAGAAGAATAATAAGAATAATAATTAATAAGAAAAAATAAGAAGAAGAAGAAGAAGAAAGAAAAGAAAGAAAAAGAAGAAGAAGAAGCAGAAGAAGAATAATAAGTATAATATATTAATAAATATAATAATAAGAAGAAGAAGAAGAAGAAGAAGAAGAAGAAGAAGATGTGGAGGAGGAAGGAGGGAGGAGGAGGAGGAGGGTGAGAGACTCTTGCTCAGCGTGCCGCGTCGCCTCGCCTCGCGGGTCGCGAGAGCCTCCGGACGTCGACGCCCGCGGCCCGAGGGACGCGGTCGGCGCGTCGCGCCAAAGCGACGCGCCGACCGCGTGGGGGGGGGGAGGCTCCTTAGAAGCACCCCTGCTTCTTGGAGGTTGCGGGCCTCGTCTGCAGATGGGAGGCCCGCGCCTTCTAGGGAGCAGCGCCCTCCGAAGCAGCCTTCCTCCCCCCTCCCCCGTACCCCCTTGTGCGCGCCGCCACGTGCCGGGTGGTCGCCCAGGTCAGGACCGCGTCGGCACCGAGATGCTCGTGGTGGGCGTGGTGGCCGAGGCTGGGGGCGCGCGGGAGGGAGGCTGCGGAGGGGAGCGAGGCGGGCTTGGTTCGATTCCTGCGGCTCGGTTCGGTTCGACTCCGATCGGTTCCGATTCCGATTCGATTCGACTTGGGATTCCGCTTTGGACTTTGGTTTCTCGATGGGGGCCGTACTAGCCTGCCGATTTCCGGCGATTCGACTTATACTTATCCCGATCTGGCTCCCGATTTCCGCCGGTCCGATCCATTTGGATCTCCGATCCGACTTCCCGACTTGATTTTGGGCTCTTCTGGAGAAGAGTCCAGGCGAACCATGGCCGGAGGCCTAGAGGTTGACACCAACACCAATATTGGCGGTTTGCCTCCACCGAGGGAAGATGCCCTGGATCTCGGTGATGGTGGTCATGTGTGGGCTCCCTGGGTGGCCGAAAGATTACCACCAGCACCAGAATCTAGGGTCATCTGCCCCCGGTGGAGGCGACCTCCTGTTTTGGTGGTGGTTCTTAGGGTGTGGGCCGCCCAGGTGGCCGAAAGGTTACCACCGGCACCGGAATCTACGAGCATCCTCCCTCGGTGGAGGCAAGCTGCTGGTTTGGTGTCGGTGCTTACCTTCAAGACTCCAACATGGGCAAAGGGGCCCTTGGACACACACACACAGACACAGACACAGACACAGACACAGACACAGAGACAAACAGACAAACAGACAAACAGACAAACAGACAAACAGACAAACAGACAAACAGACAAACAGACAAACAGACAAACAGACAAACAGACAAACAGACAAACACACAAACACACAAACACACAAACACACAAACACACAAACACACAAACACACAAACACACAAACACACAAACACACAAACACATAAACACACAAACACACACAAACACACACAAACACACACACAAACACACACACACACAAACACACACAAAACACACAAACAAACACACACATACACACACCACAACACACACCACACACACACGCACGCACGCACGCACGCACGCACGCACGCACGCACGCACGCCACACACACACACACACGCACGCACGCACAACACACACACCACACAACACACAACACACAACACACAACACACAACACTCACACACAACACACAACACACAACACACAACACACAACACACAACACACAACACACAACACACAACACACAACACACAACACACAACACACAACACACAACACACACGCACGCACACACACACAACACACACACACACACACACACACACGCACACACACACAGCCTCACACAAATCCCAAGATTCCCAGTCCTTGTCCATATTTGTAGGAATTCGGTCTTCCCCCCCACTTCCCATACCTTCCTACATTTTCTGGGGGATCGACGGTTCATCGTGTCTGTGTGTTTTCTTTCCCCTCCTGATTGGGGGGGGGGCAAAGAAAGGGGGAGCGACGACATCTGCTGCATGGTCTCGGCCCCGCCAGAGGGCGCTCTCTTGGATACACTGGGGCCTCCGGCGCGGGGGCGCGCCGGGGAAGACGGCTGTGCGAGCCGATTCGCTGACCCCTCCTCTACCCCACCTCCCCCCCTGCTCCTCCTCCTCCTCCTCATCCTCCTCCCCGTCCTCCTCCTCCTCCTCCTCCTCCTCATCCTCCTCCTCATCCTCCTCCTCCTCCTCCTCATCCTCCCCGTCCTCCTCCTCCTCCTCCTTCTCCTCTTCCCGGCTCCCGGACCGTGCGAGAACGGCTCGGGATGCAGTGCCGGTTCCGAGGAAGTGGTGCAGACCTCCGGGGGTCCACGCTGTGAGAAAGACGTGGGAGGTCTGACATCTGGCGATGAGGTGTGTCCGAGCCGCGGCCCCAGAGGTCCAGACCCCTTCCCCCCAGAGGTAGTTTTAGGTCGGGCAAATCCCCCTAGGGTCGCATTTTGGGCGAAAAGAGTCAAAACATACCCCTGAAATGATCACAAATGTTAGAACAGTCGTCCCCAGACTAGTTCTTGTACCATGTTTGAATACTCCCCCTGTAGAGAGCCAGGCCCGCCTTTAGGGTAGTTTTTCATCCTGGGCCCATGCTGCTCCTGGGGCCCAGCAGCGGCCCCCAGAGGCTGAAACCGAGGAAGAGCGCTAGGATTGAAGCGGTCGGATTGTCGGCAAGGTCGTCGGAGGGGCCCAGACTTGAAGCTCGCTGTGGGGCAGCGGACGCGATCTGTATTGCAAAGGCCTTACGGCCGGTGCCTCCGACCCTGAAGATGAGGACGCTGACCACGACGAGGTAGAATGAGGAGAAGTAGGACGAGCAGGGGGAGGAACCGCATGAGGAGGAGGAGGAGGGTGAGGAGGATAGGGGGGAGGAGGAAGAGGAGGTGGAGGCAGAGGTTCAGGGGAGGGGGGGGGGGGTAACGGAGGGGGGGGGGTTGTGATGGGGGGGGGCAGACTCGGGGTCGCTGTGGGGCAGCGAACGCGGTCTGTATTCTTGAGGCGACGGAGGAGGGGGGAATGCCCGTAGGGTAAGAGCAAACCCGTGCAGCCCAATCGTCGGTACGACCAAACCTAAGGTCTGAGTTTCTTGCAAACCTGAGGTCTGGGAGGTCGTAAGGATTGTTATTGACGGGTGATGCGCGGCGGCCGAGCGTACTGGGATCTGGCCCTGGGAACATCGCTGCCTCCCCCACGACCTCCAAGCCCAGACCTCGGGGGGTTCACGCTGCGCGAACACAACGTCTCCGCTGGTCTTCCTGCGAGTCGGCCCCGCTGCAGCGCGTGGGCTCGC